AAGTTGTTGTCTTTTCTTGATCATGCTGTGGAACAAGAATTTCTAACATCTTTTGCACGACAAATCATAAACTCTGCTGCTATTGCTGAATAATTGATTGATCAACTACAATCTTTCATTCCTGTACTTGATCCTTCCATGAGTCGCATAAATTGGTCAACTAAGAAAAGTCGTAAAAAGCTTAGATTGGATTTGAGCCTTCATTTGTGAATCTTTGTGTCTTTTGGTTTTATTATTGTGTTTTGTTATTTCTTATTTTTGTTTAAGTGTGTTTCAGGTTTGTCAATGTTTGTTATTTCAGGTGATATCTTCTATACTCTATCTTTCTACCTTAGAACATTGAGGACAATGTCTCGTTTTGGTTCGGGGATGAGGGTAGTAGTTGATAAAAAAAAAATTGTTTTCCATTTCATAAAGCATGTGCATAATTGTTGTTACTAGGATGGCAGAGTAAAGGAGCTCTTTTGTTAAAGTGACTCTTGAGACGCATCTTAGTAACCATTCTTAATAAGGTCTATCATAATACTTCTTAAAATTTTGTTTTCTTCCAAGAAAAGCCCCATAATTATGTATTGATATATTGAGCACAAAAGAAAGGTTTATGAATATCTTGTTTAGAGGTATTGAGCTGGTATATAAATTTAACGAGAGTTTGTTTATCTGGATAGATTAATGGAAGTTAAATGATGAATACCTTGCTTTGTGGAATTTGCAAATTGTTTTTCTTTTTTAATGCTTTGCTTACTAGGGACTAGTAATAAGCTGGTTTGGGGGTTTTGTGGAATATACAAATTGTTTTTCTATTTTACGCTTTGATTACTAGGGACTAGTAATAAGCTGGTTGGGGGGTGTGATTAGTACTTAAAAGTGCATTTTTATCATGGTTTTATATCATCATTTTGCACTTGAAGTATCGATAACTCCTTAACTAAAATATGTTTTTATAATAATGTATCTAATAATATAAGATACCTATAATTTGTGGTAAATGTCTATTTTTAATGCAGGTCTATCACATAAATGAAAGGATTGATTGATGACTTTAAGAACTTAAATTGCAAGGGCAAAAAGATGACCAAAATTAGAAAAGAGATGTCGGTGTAATCCAAACCGGAACATTATTCAGTAATTGGGTCATATCTGGAGCTATAGATCTCAGATTTAGGTCTAATTTATATGGATAGAAAGGTAAGACATAGGCCTACAACTTTCATATAGAGTCCAAGATCTAAAAATGTCATTTTCAAGTCCAAATTGTAGCAACAACAAAGAAGCCCGAAGCTGTCCTCTAGCCCGAGCACTATTCAGTATTTTGGCCATATCTGGAGTTTTAGAAGTCTAAATGAGCTGAATTGTTTACACAAGAAATCTGAGACAATTGTCTACAACTTTCATGTTTTCAAGTGGCTCCAATTTTGACGTTATCAATGACGTTTTGGGCAGACAAGAGAAGATAAGGATTGTCACCAAGTCAAGAGTTGGCCACTATCAATGACGTTTTGGGCAGACAAGAGAAGATAAGGATTGTCACCAAGTCAAGAGTTGGCCACCCATTCATCAATTAGTCATCAAATCAATAGTTCCCAATTTTTGCCTATAAAAGGAGGCATTTACCATGCATTTAGGCATCTTGGTTTTCAGATCAAGATCATGCTCTTCCTTTCTCTCTTTGTATTTTTTGTATTGCTTATGCTTTGCTTTCATTAATATCAAGTTTATGTATTTCAATTCCTTTCCTTTGCTTTGTTAGCTCTTATCTTATTTATGTTCTTATTTTATTTATTTATTTTTCTTTCCTTCATTATGTCTAGCTAAGTTTATTATGTCAAGGTGAAAAGGTTACACTAATGGTGTAAGAATAAGTATAATGTAAACTTAATATGGACTTTAATGTTTGATACTAACATGTTTTATATTTGTTATCTTATTCACTCTTTAATACTTTGCTTGTTAAATGACTAATCTTGATTTATGTTGTATAACACTTGGTACAACAAATGCTTGGCACTTTCATAGCCCATAATGTATGGTATAACCGACACCTGAGCTATGAAAGAAACTTGATTTGTTGTTAACATAACTTATAATCATGAATGCTTGACGAAATTTACAAGTATTAGCATTAATTGAATAAGATGACTAATGTAATCATGTTAACAATATATAATCTGATTGGAACCTCCTTTGTGTGTGGTTTCCAATTCAATAATAAGAGTTTATACTATACTTGTTTGATATACCATTAGTGGAACCTCTAACCTTGACATTTGTTATTATCATTGTTTAATCGTTACATTAATATTCCATCTCAAAGTTCTCATCTTCTTCTTCTTCTTCTATTTCTTTATTATTATTATTATTAGTACTACTACTACTACTACTACTACTACTACTACTACTACTACTACTACTACTACTACTACTACTACTACTACTACTACTACTACTACTACTACTACTACTACTACTACTACTACTACTACTACTACTACTACTACTACTACTACTACTACTACTACTACTACTACTACTACTACTACTACACGTTTTTCTAAGAAATGGTTTCAATATCGGGTGACTGGTCCCTCTTCAAAAATTCTTAGAAAACTCCACGTTTTTCTAAGAAATGGTTTCAATATCGGGTGACTGGTCCCTCTTCAAAAATTCTTAGAAAACTCCACGTTTTTTTAAGAAATGGTTTTAATATCGGGTGACTTGTCCATTTTGAGTTTAAAAAGAAATCATCTTACCTCAAGGAATGAAGTAGTGCTGGTTGATAATTTCTATCCTTTTCTATAGTTTTGTTGACATGAGATTTTGGACCTCAACAAATGTTTTTCCTCAAAAACTTGGAACTATTTTGGCCTTTGTCACACTTTCTCCTGCCAAGTTAGGGTTATGACAATATAGCATGCATGTTTTTTTTGTTACCTATTTTGAAAACATAGGTCCCCCTTTCTATTGTAGACTTATTGAGCTCTTGTTTCCATTTGTTTGTCCGACTCGTCCTCTTGAAACAAAATATGCTCCACGTGCTATACTTCCTATCCTCTTGGTGAAGAGATCTTTGGTTCCTTATGGGGCCTTTTCTTGCTGCATTGAGTATTGTCTTTTATTATTATTTTAAAAGAAAAACTCAAAAGATTTGGTTTTGTTCATAAAAACTGAAACTTCCAATGCAATTAGCAAATTCTCATAAAAGATTTTTTTTTTTGAAGTTTTTATGATATACCCCTTTGGGTTTTGGTTCACTATGGACCCTTATGTGCACTTCATACACTTCTTGCCCCTAGTGTGGTATGCAAAAATATGTCAAGTTTAGATTTGATTTGGTTTTCTCCAATTAATGGATTCATCTCCTTAGTCATGCGTAAAAAAAGTTTGTTTAAGTAAAAGATTTCAAATGTTATGAGATCATGCGTTTTATGAAGAAAGGTGCTTTATAGAGAAAATTCATGGCCAAACTTTATTTTATTAATTGGCAGATTATAGAATACATCAAGCGTAATATTTCCTTACAGAGTCAAAATTCAATGGCTTAACTAGATCTTCTCCATCCATTCTAGATAACAACAAAGCTCCTCCCGAGAATGCTTTCTTCACCATGTAAGGGCCCTCATAGTTCGGTGCCTATTTACTTCAATCTTCTTCTGGTAAAGGCATTATTTTCTTTAGTACAAGATCTCCTTCGTGGAATCCTCGAGGTCGAACCTTTTTGTTGTATGATTTGGCCATCCTTCTTTGGTAGAGTTGATGATGATAGATTGCGGTTATCCTCTTTTCACTAATCAAATTCAGTTGTTTATATCTAATTTTTGCCCATTTTACCTCTTCCAGCTTAGAGTCTACCAGTACTCTCAATGAGGGGATTTCCACTTCTAAAGGCATAACTGCCTCCATTCCATATACCAACATGTATGGGGTTGCTCTTGTCGAGGTTCGGATTGCGGTGCGATATGCTTAAAGGGCAAATGACAACATCTCATGCCAATCCTTATAGGTAACTACCATCTTCTGAATAATCTTTTTGATACTCTTGTTAGCAGTTTCTACCGCATCATTCATCTTTGGTTTATACGGTGAAGAGTTGGAATACTTGATTTTCCATTTAACACAGAGTTCTATTATCATCTTGCCATTGAAATTCTGGGCATTATCAGTTATAATCTTTTCTGGTGGACTATATTAACAAATCAAATCTCTCTTGATAAATTTCTTCACTATCATTATACACTGCCCATCTCTTGTCTTTGGAGTTACAATGATGTTATTATCTTATATCAGTTAAAAGGTAAATGCTTTATACATTTATATAACATAAATGTCATTTTTTTTTGTCGAAAGACTTATTTTTAATGATAAAATCTAATGTATAATAGAATTCGTGTAAAGTAAGATAATATCTACCGAGGCTCACTTTATATAACTATAAACATATATCATTTTCGATATCATTTATTAGAACGTTAATCATATTGTGCTATCCAAGCTCCTCGCACGAGGCGTTATGATATTATTACTATTATATACTGGCTAAGAGACGAGGCTAAACCCATATCAGCTTATACCTCATGGAGTGTCTGCCATGTTGTATGGAGACATGCCACCATAGTAATTAATATATACTAATTTATTAGAAAAAATCAACATGCATACGAAGCTTTGTGCGAGAAATTCTCACATACTTACAATCCGAATGTCCAGCCCTCACTGTAAAGCCTTTGCCCTCCCCGGGAGCGTGGTTGCAAGCTTGCAACATGTAATTTGGGTTTTGGCTCTAAGGTGAACGAAAGGGAAGCAACCCGCAATTTGCATATCAACCTTCAAGGAAAGGTGGCACGAGATACCTCCGTTTCGAGTCCATTTACTTATTAAGGCCCAAACAAACTAGACAAGCTTAGCTTCGGCTCAGAAGAAGAAGTAGCCCACCCACCCAAGCGTGAACTGGAGGGAGAGGAGAGGGAGTTCTTTAAATCGACTGCCACTTGAGACACCGATACAAAACTCGGCGCCCACACTCTTCTGAGCTGAAAATTTCAACGCATTCTTCTTCTACTCTCCCTCCAATATACTATATAATATTTCCCGTTCCAATCTTGGAAATTGAAAAGAAAAAAGAAAAAACAGAGAGACCCAGAAATGGCGTCGTGGCTGAGCTCAAGAGACGTATCTGGATTCAAATTCATCTTCTTTCTAGCCATTATCTACACTATCATATCGCTTATTGTTCACTCCGTACTTCACATGAAATTCATTACGCCCCTCTCGATCGACGCCCCCCCCGATCGCTTCTCCGAGGCCAGAGCCATCCACCATATTGCAGTTCTAACCAAAGACGATCGTCAAGTCAGTCCCGCCCTCATTTCTGTGCTTGCATGTCCCTCTTGTTTTGTTACGGAGTTTTCAACTTTCTTATTTATTTATTCATTGGCTTTTAATGTTGATAAATTAAAAGGAAGGGCGTCCTGGATTAAGAAAAGCCGCAACGTATATTAAAGAGCAGTTAGAAATGCTGAAGGAGAGAGCTGAATCCAATATCAGGTTGTTATTCTCTCTTCAGTAATGCTGGTGGTATGACTGGCCGTTTAAGTGATAATTTTTATTTTTAGTTATGATTTTGGTTTATTACTTTATTTAATTTTTATTTATTTGCAGGATTGAGGTTGAGGAGACCACTGTTAATGGTTCCTTCAATATGATATTTCTAGGCCACAGCATATCTTTTGCTTATAGAGACCATATAAATATCGTTGCCAGGTAATTTCTTTACTCCTTGCTCAAATGGTATTGCCTTTTCAAGTTTGTGCTCATGTGCTGACGTTCGATTTGTGCTAGAATCATCGGGGAACGGGATGTGTTTTTTCCCTTGCTTACTGGGACCTCTATTTTTATATGGAACTCCCCTGAAAGCATGATCAAAGATTTCACTTGGAGGTGAGATACATCCTCTAAGAAAGGATGTGTCTTCCAGTTTGAAAGGAATGGACTTCGCACCTTCGTCAAGAAATTGTGGCCTCTGACTTGTTACATATAAGCTATTCAGCACATGAAATTTTAACTGCATTCTGAAGTATCGTATGAAACTTTATTGTTCACTGCTCGAACAAAAGCTAGGAAGCTGAATCCTGTGAAGGGAAAATGTTGAACCATTTCTTTTTTACCTTAGAAAAAATATTAAGAAAGGTATTACATTACATTTTAGAGGGAAGCTCTAAGTGATGTATAGGAAACGACCAATGAGGAAATGGTGCCTTATTGGATTAGGAGATCAATGATAGTAGATTGTGTCATATAAATTCTTTGCGCTTTTATCTTGCATGTGCAGTATTATAATTGGTTATAATGTATGCCTTTTTAGATAATAAAGAGTGTATTTTTATCTTAGATTTTTGGAAAACAACATTTGGACTAACTTCTACTTGATAACAGGATATCATCAGCTGATTTGCAAGAAACTGACCCATCTGTATTAATTAATGGCCATTTTGATAGTCCTCTCGGTTCACCAGGAGCTGGTGATTGTGGTTCATGCGTTGGTGAGTACATTGTATCTCGTAACCACTTGGACTGCCTTTAAGACGTTAGTTTACATGTTTTCATTGTTTTGCAGCATCAATGCTGGAATTAGCTAGAGTTACGGTAGAATCTGGATGGATCCCCCCCCGTCCAATTATTTTTCTTTTTAATGGCGCAGAAGAACTTTTTATGCTGGTATAGTATCTGTTTGTAAGCAATATTATTATTTGAGTATTTTTGTTAAAAGAAAACATTTGTTGTGTTGCCATTTCCATCGTGGACAAGTCATATTTATGAACATACTGAATGCAGCTTTCTTTGTCCTACCTTGTTGGACAACCGCAACAAATTCCTTGCATTCAAAACACATTTAGTGGACCATTATTTATCAAGTTATTTTCTATTTAACTTCTCTCACTTTAATCTTAAAAGTGTTTGGTTGATTATGATGTCTCAGGGTTCACATGGCTTCATGACGACACATAAATGGCGTGATTCAGTTGGAGCTTCTATAAACTTGGAAGCATCTGGGACTGCTGGTCCTGGTAGGATATGATCCAATTCCAATGTTACTTTTTCTCAACCTTTTTAGAATGCATATGGAACATTGACTCAATGATTTGGGGAAAAGGGAACTGGATTTAGAGCAGAAAACAGAAAGCAGCCTGTGATCTGCAGAACATGCAACTTTTTTCCTATATCATGATTGATCCAGGGGGAAGCCTCTTAAAGTTAGCTCAACATGCATTCACATTATATCAGAATAAATGTACCATGTTCTCGACATCACTCACTTCCAAAGCTGCCAGATATGAAAATATAAGAAATGAATTAAAATATTATTTGTTGGTAGTTGGGAACATAAGTTTTTGACTTTCTTTAATGATTCAGAGTTCCGTGTAATGGTCCTGCTGCTCTATGCTGATGTGAATACTGTTGTATTAACAGATTTAGTCTGCCAATCTGGACCTGGGTCTTGGCCTTCTCAAGTATATGCAGAGTCTGCAGTATATCCCATGGCACATAGTGCTGCTCAGGTTTTCTTTTATTTTTCTTGTTTTATAAATTTAACTTCAACACATTCTGATGAGTATTTTATTTTGTGGTTACTTGTAAGGAAACAAAGAAACAAATATTTTTTGCTTGATTTTGTTTCATATTCACCTGGGCCACTTTAAAATTCTCCTGACATATATGTGTGGTTTATTCCAATACCCATCTGCTGTGCATGTCCTCTCTTTGCATTAATTATTTCAGTTCTAAATGATCTATTTCTCTATGTAGGACATCTTTCCTGTGATTCCTGGAGATACAGATTACAGAATATTTTCCCAAGATCATGGAAACATTCCAAGCCTTGATATCATCTTTCTTCTTGGTGGTTATTACTACCATACATCCTTTGATACATTGGACAAATTACTGTATGCTCTACATCTGCTATTTTGGTATATAAATATACATCATTGGAATTCTTTTGTCGCGTTATTCTTAAGTGCATCCTCTGATGCATTTGAATGTACTCATACCAGACCTGGGAGCATTCAAGCTCGTGGAGAAAATTTGCTTAGCATACTCAAAGCTTTCACAAATTCTTCCAAGCTACAAAGTGCTCGAGAAAGAGAATCTAAAGCCACAACCAATGACTACAAGGATGAGAGGGCTGTTTTCTTTGATTACTTATCATGGTTCCTTGTACGCCGCAAAGTTTATGACATCTTCTCTATCCAATGTTTCATTATTCTTTCTTAAATTTTATCACATTTATGACTCACTATATGACTTGAACCGAGTGTAGGAGTGTATCTCGTGTTTGCTAGAAAATTGATAAGAGCGGTTTGGATTGCACCGACATCTCTTTTCTAATTTTGGTCATCTTTTTGCTTTTTTTTTTTTTTTCAGATTTTCTATTCAAGAAGGGTAGCTGTGGTACTCCATAGTATTCCCATCGCCATCTTTTTTGTAATGCCATTCCTTTTGCATTTTTGGGATTCTAGGTCACGTTCATGTTTTGCAATCTTCTATGATTTTGTGAAAGGTTGATTCTCTACTGCTGATTTTTATTTGAATTTTTTCTTCTGAATCTCCATGCTCTGATACCCCACTCCCACCTCCACATTGATAAGTTAATAAACACAAGACATGCAGATTGAAGATTTTGTTGATAATACTCAGATCCTGTTTACTTTCCAGGACTGCTTTTCCATGCTGCCGGGATTATACTGGCAATTATTTTCCCGATTATCCTTTCTATTTTGCAACTGTTCTTCTCTAGTTATGCTTTGGGCTGGTGAGTTTGTTCCTCTGGTTCTTTTGATTTATTCTCCCTGGTATTTTGAATGGGAAAAGGTTCACAAGGTGTGAGCGTGGTGTCTGCTTTAACTGTGGCTCATGGTTTTTCTCAGTAGTTTCATTGTATTCAACAACAAGATGAACTTCAATTGGATGATGATGTTATAATGATGAACTTCACTGGGACACCATAAATCTCTTCTGTATCTTAGGAGTAGCTGTAGCTTCAACTGTGAGAGGAGGGGTGTGTGTGTGTGTGTGTGTGAGAGAGAGAGAGAGAGAGAGAGAGATGATGTTGTTACTGTTGGTCATGGTTCACATTGACATGCAAGATTCAAATGCAGGTTTGCACATCCATACCTGGCATTCTTGATGTTCATCCCCTGCTCACTTGTTGGTTTGCTAATTCCAAGAACTGTTTGGGGTTGTTTCCCCCTCTCTCAAGATGTTTCAGTTATCAAGAAATCAGAGGAGGTACAATTACATAGAAAATATTTTTTTGAGAAATCACTTACCCAGGCCATGCTTTTTACATTTTCTTTAATCACATGGCTAGAAGTGTTCGCAAATCAGGATTTCTTTGAATTTGTACATCCTAGGTAATAATATTCATATGGAACATCTTTGGTTACTGATAATAATGAGTATACATGCCATTTAATATGGTGTTCAAGTCGTGCTGCATTTTACTGACTTCACCAATGAGATGAAATTTCAAAATAATTGATTCAAATGCAAGTCTGCATTAGAATATGAGGAAACAATATAGAAAACCAATTTATTAGGAATTGAAAACCGATAGACAAACATGATCATAAGATGGGTTGCTTGTATAAATGGGGCAAGATGTCCTCTAGTTGCCAAGGATGACAAACCTTCGATATGCATGGCATTTAGTAGAGTTCGGTGACCAATTTTTGGTCAGTCTTTACTTTGATTACTATATTGTTGAGCTTCTCCTTTAATAGGGCCTTATTGAAAAGCAAAGCATTAATTGTAATAGCAGACCTAATTAGGATATTTGATAATTGTGAAAATAACCAATTGCTGAAAACTATCTTCTTGAATTACGTCAGCTACTTCATATGGATGGTGGACATGTTCACTTCTCTCTCATAAAAAATTTTCTTCTTTCCTTCCTATGTTTACAATATGCTATTGCTTGGCACAATGTAAAGGTAAACCTTTTGGCTTGCGACCTCAAGGTTGCTGTTTTGAGCCTTGAGATCAGCAAGCAACTCCATGTTAAAAGGTAGAAGGGTGAGATTGCCTCCAAGTTCTCTTTTGAAGACTCCCCTTCAGGGGTCCAAATTGCCAAAGATAAATTTTCCATAAAATATGCAATTCCACCACAACTGTTAGTGACTTGATTCATTGGACTCTTTGACTTGTGTTGTGCGGCTAATCCTAATTTTTTTCTACATCCCTTTTAAATTGTTTGGTAGCACTATGCCTTTCTTGCAGTTTGATGGAGTTTCACATGCATCGCCTGGGTGTTTTAAATCTAGTCTAGTTGCATCATCCATCACAGAAGCTAGCAGATATCTGAAATGAAGTATATTTTGCAGGCACTAGCTGAAGAAGCAAGATTTTGGGGAGCATTTGGATTTTATGCTTGCTTAACTTCAGTATGTAATCGCTATTTTTAGTTTACTATTTTAGAAAAAATCCACATGCCTTCTAGATTTTGATAGTTTCTAAAGTTTTCAACGGCTAACTATAGTAAAGACAGGCTTATCTTGTAGCTGGGCTCAGTGGAGGGTTTTTGACGTTTTCTGTGTCTGCATCTATGCTTCCAGCATGGATCTTCTTTTCCCTATCTATCAAGTCCAGTGATCATCAATCACCAAGGTACTGGTTTCGATGGATCACAATCAGATTCCTTCTTGTGAATGTTGGCTGGAATTTTCTTCTCAAGTGGTTATTATATTGAAGTTGCATGTGTTGCATTGCTGGTTTGTGATGTTGTGCATGGAGACTTCTATTTTAGTGTCTCTTAGAACTGCTTTATAATGCTATCTTTGCTATAAATAGTTGAAGCATGCTGCAAAATATCTGCTGTTCAGTGATTTGTGTCTATTTATATATCCCATATACGGGAGCTGTTATCCTTTAGTGACTTTTTAATGAACTTTAATACACTGAAGTTCTTGTTGCCTCAAAATATCTACACTGGCTGATTTTCCGCCTTTCAAGTATGCTGGACTTCCATTTTAGTGTTCTTATAGCATCATTTTGGAGCCTTCCTTGAAAGATAGGTGTTGACTTGCAATGTCTTTTAGATTTCTTCAAGACATGTCATGTTGCACTCTGACACAGCAGCTGCCATTAAGCTGTCCTTACATTGAATTTGCTATTTCTGAATATTTTCAAGAACCACTCCTTGTGATCCTCTTAATAGACTGTTGAAATGCATCTTATGTTTTTTTCTGCTGCACATGGTTTCGGACTGTTGTTAATTGGATCCAAAGCACAGCTTGTTGTCTTAGCTAATTCTGGAACATTTTGAGAGATCACAATTTTTTCGTGCACTTTCTTATTTTTTTAAGTGTTTTCATTCTTTTCTTTTTTCTTCTTGTTTACGAGGAGACTTGAAACAGTCTTGCAGGAGATGTGGGTGATAGCGCCAAATGGAACATAGATTGTTGTCTCTTTGCTCTTTTTTCTCGCATTAAAGTCCTTTTTCTTCTTCTGCATTTTAGTCACTTTCTAATTGAAGAAAGGTGGCAAATGGTAGCCAAAAAAACAGAAGTGGTTATGACTGATGCTCTTTCTTTCAGGTCAGCAGTTTTTTATGTAATACCTCTAATTCCATGTCTTGCATACTCGGTATATTTTGGGGGGTTTCTTACCCAATTTTTGATTGAGAAGATGGGCATGATGGGTGTCGTCCCACCTCCCTATGGTTAGTATTCCTAAACTATTTTTTCTGATGCTGTTTATATCAATTGGATTTTTTCTGGTTGTTCTTCTGATTGTGAGACGGGCATCAATATATGTTCATTTCTGTACTTTAACTGGAAAATTGAATTTTGTATAAATAATATTGTCAGCAAGTGTTTTTTTCCCTTACAGTGCTGGTTGTTGATAACTTTTGGACAGGTGTAGAGGAAAAAAAAAAAGAATTGGAGTATCAGATACTTCCAACCGATTCTTATATGAATTATCCTTTCTATTTGTTTTTTATCTGAGGTGCAAATGTTAAAAATACTTGATATGATGTCTCATTTTATTGGATCGACTTTATATAGACCACCTTCATTATGTGTCATATGGTGGTATTTTCAACTTTGACATGGCTAAAAGAGGATGATTCACTTATGTCCCTTTCAAAGTTCTGCTTGTACTCTTCTCTCGATGACTTTCAAGTATGCTATAGGATAGATATCTATTTCTAGTAGTCAATATTCTACAGAACCATTATGATTGTTTTGTACAGTTATAACCGAGCAATTGATTATATGCTCTGAAGTAAAGTGTGGATTATGATTACCAGATCCCTTCTTGCAGGCTATTATGTTCCTGATGTTGTAGTGGCAGCATCAGTTGGGGTTGTAACTGGTTGGTGTGTGGGCCCACTAATACCTGTTTGTAGTCATTGGTTAGCTCGGTCTTCGATCTTGCAGCTCCTGTCGCATATTAGTGTACTTGCTCTGGCTCTCTCATCTCAATTTTTTCCATACAGCAATGCCGCACCAAAGAGGGTTGTTTTTCAGCATACACTTGCTACTACAGGTATGAAGAAGATTGCACTTGATACTTAAAGCCTTTTAAAACTCTAGCTAGTTATAACTGCTAGAAAGATTTTGCATTGATGTGTGAATTATGAACACAGTTCAATTATTAGTTCTGTTATGGGCTTCTTTATTTGTTCTGATTTTAGGCCCCCTTTCTCAGCCATCTTGTCTGAAAACTTCTTTTGCTTCTGTGGATTGACAGATGTAAATAGGATTGTGGACTCCAGCTATGAATTTTCTGTTGTAGATTCCAATTCTTTATTGTTTCTTTTCAAATATGCTCCTGAAGTGGCAAAGGAATTGCATATTGGCCAAGAGTTATCTTTTGAAACTGCTAATATGTCTCACCGAGAGACTTGGATGGTAAGCAAATTTCGCATTTAATATCAGCTGCTAATGCTACGTCAAATCTATGATTTGAGGTGGCTCTTTTGCCTTGTCTAGACGTAACAAGTTATATAACTCACAATCACAACAGATGGCTGGTTTCTCGTGTCAGTATTTGAATCACAAGTACCTGCCCTTAGGCAACATTCCCTTTTTTATTGAAATCTGGAAGCACGTGATAATTTTCTTTCAATTTGTTAATCTTTCCTCTCTCCCCAACCTGGTCATTTTCCATAACAGCCTCATTTAAAGAGAGGGGGGAGGGGCGTTGATTTCCTGTGGTGTGCCAGGTTTTCTCATCTTTCAATGAAGTGGTAGATTTAGTTTTAGTGCCCGTGAAGGGCAAGTTACTTCATCTTGAATTATATGTTCTAAAGTGGTTGCAAATCAATCAAATTCATTGATAAACCTTATTTTGTGTAACTTTCTTTCTGTTTTTTTATATAATTTATTTGGCAGGGAATTTTTCCAGTGCCCTTCTTGTTTTCTCAAAGCTTAAAGTTCCCAGCAAGGAGTGATGGCATTTTGAAACGCTATAGATATTTCCCCCACTTATCTAATTACAAGCCACATAGCGTTTCCAGCGACAAATCTCGGAGAGTTTACTTGGAATTTTATTTGGGGTGAGTAGAATGTACTGTTGATCTGCATGGAAGTGCATGAAAACTTGTCTTGTGCTTAAAAAATATGCTTCTTTGAGTTTTTTGCATCCTCGGTTTGGAGGGATATGATACAGGAATACTCAGTTCAACTGTCAGCTCATGCAAGAAACTGTTGGAGCATTTTCTGACAGTAGTGCACAATGTTGCTAGGGGAGGAATTCAAACCTGGATTATTCCAGGTGAGGGTGTGCTGTCTAGCTCAGCTAAACCCACATGCCTTGAACCATAGGATGATGTTAGAAGATTGTGGTATTACTTTAACAAGATTATTGCTCTGTTTAATGAGCGAACTGTCCACATGCTTCTTGCCTGATTAATTATAAATCTATCATTCATATACATATATCGTGGAAAATATGTGTACTTACTTTTAGAAGTTTGTATTTTCAATGGATAATTGGTAGATGTTCTATAGATCCAAGACACGGCAAAAAATGAAATATCAACACCGGGAATGCTATTTGACTGCACAGGAGAGAAACAACTAAGAAAAACTCTTAATTTTAATTCGCTTGGAATACTTGTGTGCATATGTTATATCATCAAACATAGATATCGTTTTAATCTTCATACGCTGTGTCTTTTAGTGACTTGGAGGAGGTTTGGGTAGCAGTCCTTAACATAACCGGTCCTTTATCAAGCTGGTCATTTGCAGACAATTTGCTTTCAGGTACGAAATTTTAAGATTCCACTTGTCTCTGAGTATTTTGCTCTGTTGTGTAATTAATCACTCTGGAAATCGGGCAGTTCCTGAGACAATTGATGGCGGTCCACCATCCTACATAATAAGACTTAGTGGAAACAGCCAACGAAATTGGACTTTCTGGTTAGAGGTAAAGTTCTGTCCTTGATTAGCTTAGTCTACGAGGATGATTCTTTCTAGACATAGTTCAGTTTTGTTAAAGAGTTATAAATTCTCTTTGGAAAGTACAGGCTAGCAGTTCTGATGATTTAAGGGTGGAAGTTGCTGTGGTAGACCAAGTTTTAGACGATGAAGCAAGGAGGTTGAAGGGCCTTTTCCCAGACTGGGCTGATGTCATTGCCTATTCTTCCTTCATGTCCAGCTACATTTTCTGACTGCCAATGCATAAACTTGCCCAAACATTGGCTTGAAAATTATTTAGACCCAGATGAGACTCATGGGAAATGTAATTCAGTTTGCATACTTTTTTGAAGCTTAATTTAAATTGTTTCATTGTTCAGTTTTGGAACTGCAAAGATTACAAAGTGGCATGAGTCTGACAATAATCCTAAAGCCAGTAAATATATGCACCAACATGAGTAGAATCTGCTTCAAGTGGTTTCAGGTTCTGCAACTTGAGCCTCTGCCACTTGGTAAAAATAGAAAATTAAATACCTAGCTCCCAAAAATTAAGTCAGGCCCACGATTATTGTTAAACCCCGCGCCGCTCCTGGTCAGGTATCTACTAGGGAGCTGAAAAGGGCATCCCAGTAATTATGTGATGTCCATCTTCCCATTAAAGTCAGGGTGTGCAAACCCTAAACCCTATATGCGTTGCTGCGGAAGATGTTATTAAAGGCTCTCCGCCCCTCTCTGCAAAATCATGATTTTATTCTTTCATTTCGATATCTTTTGTTTCACGTTTATACAAATCTCTCTATTTCGAAAGGGAGAAGGTGCTGTGATGATGAGACTATAATCTCGTTAATCTGATTTAACCATGAGGAAAAACCCTCTAATCCATTCTTCGCTGTCTGAGCACCTTCTCTTTCTTTCCTAATTTTTCTTCTTCATTTTTTTCTTGGTAAGAAATCTTTTCCTGTGTTGCTTTTTTTAAAAAAACAAAAAACAAAAATCTCACGATGGATCTTTCTTGCTTTTTGGTTGAGTTTGGAGTTAGAATCCTCCATCATGTGGAAGCTTAGTGTCTTAACAGATGGGGTAATCGTATCTATTTATCAATGGATGTGTTCATGTTACAGGAAATGTAGAAATGTCCACAAGGAAGGGGATTGGCTGACCCGATAAGATGTTATCTTGAGTGGTAACTGTAGAATTTCTTAAAGATAGAAGTTCTAGGTTATTGTATGAGCAATTCATGATGGGATGGGCGTATAGTTCCAAAATTGTCTCCCCACAAATCAAAGTAATGGATTCACAGGCAAAGGAAATTCTTATGGGTAGGTGTTCATATAAACAGTGAAAAAGATTGATATATTATTTTAAATACTTGGTTAACAAATTAATGGTGGTTCAAACGGAGCTCGAGGGTTCGAAAGCGGACTACACACTCAGAAAAGATAAGAAAAATAAATGTTTTTTTAATTACATTAGATTTTTATTTGATTTTATTTTTTTTAGTGTTGAATTTAATTATTATTTTTATTTAGATAATAATATAAATTATATTTTAAAATTTCATCTAACTATATAATTTTTTAATATAATATTAAAGTTTCAATTACCGAGTTTAAATCTTACTATTTTTATTTATTTAGTAAAAATCAATTATAAATTTTAATACTAGTTTGTATAAATTTTAATCTCAAAGAATATTGAAATTTTACTTTAATTAGACCTTTCTCCTTAACTTCAATTATGAAATATTTTCATACTTTAATTTTGAAATATTTTCATACAGGATTAGAATTATTTTTTTGACAAACAAACTAATAATTTAAAATATTGAGTTTAGATGATTTTTTAACAAATAAGAATAGTTAGATATTATTTCATGAGTTAGGCCTTGTTTGTTTACTAAAAATAATTTTTTTTAAGTGAATTTTTAGGAAAGTGAATTTCAAGAAATTAAATTATTTTCTAATGTTTGGTATTGTAATGAAAAATAAATTAAAATTTTTTTTTTAGTGTTTGGTTATGTTATGAAAAATAAGCTGGAAAATAACTTATTAATGTTTTATTTTTCTAAGTTTATTAAATCTTTCAAATTAAAAAATTGAATGAGAATAAAATTGAAAAAAAA